TTCTACTCTGTCCTATAGGGTCACTATGAGTTGGAATCGACTCGACAACAACGGGTTTGGTTTGGTTTAGTGGTTCTTAGTTCAACTTTGAGTTGATCCAATTGCTGGTTCAGTTCTGAAGTTGAGATTCCACTCTCCTATCTGTTCCTAGTTCCTACCCTAGTATCTTAACCTTTGTTGTCAGATCTCCCTATTGTCGAGACCAGCACTTCTCAGACTTCAATGTGCATATGAATCCCTTGGGGAGCTTGTTAAAATGCAGATTATGACTCAGTGGATCTGGGGTGTGGCCTGAGATTCCTCATTTCTAACAAGCTCCCAGGAGTCCTCATGGCTCAATGGTTAAGCATTAGGCTGCTAACCAAAAGGTTGGCCGTTCGAACCCATCCAGTGGCTCTGTGGGAGAAAAGACCCTGGTGATCTGCTCTTACAAAGATTACAGCCAAGAAAACTCAATGGGGAAGTTCTACTTTGTCACATGGGGTTGCTCTGAGTCGAAATCGAGTCGACGGCATCCAACAACAACAACCACCACCTCCCAGGTGATGCCTGTGCTGCTGACTTGAGGATCACACTTTGGGTATCAAGGCCCCATAGCAACGATCTCCTACATGTGCTTCCTTGCTCATCCTCTCCCTCCACAGAAGGGAAGCACAAGTATTGTCACTTTGTCATGTTGTTCTCTTGGTGGCACGCAGCCACCATCATTGGCCTGCAGCATAGCTTAGCACTGGAATCCCCTGGGGAGCTCATGAAAAGTACCAATTCCTGGGTTCTTTCTGTGGAGATTCAGATTCAGTAGGTCTGAGGTAGAGCCTCAGATTTTGTATTTTTAAGAAGCATGACAGGCAATCTCGCTGATATTTTAAGAACCAATGTCTTATAGGCTGAAGTCCAACCTGAAACCTTGAAGGCAAAGTCTTTCCCAGCAGAACGAATCTGTATTTCTCATGCAGTACTTCCCTCCAAACCTTGGTTCCAGGTTAACTGGCGTACTTACTGTCTCTCAAACAGACTGAGAGCATCCCCTCCTCCTTACCCTAGTTCATATTATTTCCACCTACAGATTCACCCACTCTGTCACTAATTTATCTTATCTGTGTATGTGCATCATCGCTCAACCAAGAATGCAAGCTTCTGGAAGACTCCACACAGTCAGTGGGAAAAGACCTTTGTCTCCCCTCTGTTTGGTCTTGTTGAACCCACCTCTCCTCCCAAATTCCACCAACTCACCAGCCCCCTCTTACTCAAGTCCCACAAAAATCCATTTTCCATTCTTCTGAAGAATAGAAAATGTGATGTTCTTGACTTAAATAGAAGTGACACCTGTGCCCCGATATACAAGAAAAGATGCTGAGTCACGCTCCACTTCTTTTCAGAAACTGGAGTCCCTGAGGACAGGGTCTTTGTATTATATTTGTTCCATGTCGTTTTTTTCTAAGTCAAGTCATGCTGTGCTCACCATTAAACAAAAAGCAAACAAATGTCTGAATCAGTTTTGTGCTTTGTCTGAAGGTGACACATAGTGGTAAGGATAGAAAGAATCATTATAGGTAATTAGTTGAAATGACATCAAAATTGTCTAATTGGCTTTATAAAGCATCCTTGATTCCAGGACATATTAGGTGTCGAACCACAATATACCTTCATTCCTGAAATACCAAGAGAACATTCTATAGTGCTGTGGAACAAATAATGCTAACAGCAGCCCTGAGAAATCAATATCCATCAGCCTCTGCTTAACTTACCCAGAATGAAACACTAACAGCCCAGTTGGGTTTCAGAAGTGAGGCTTCCTCAACACACAGGGATGTCTAAAGAGATAAAGGGAAAGAAACATCTGCTTCATTCTAGGGAGGGGGTGGGTCTAAAGAGCTGAGACTGTCTTCATGTTATTTTCCCCCAGGCTCTTTCTTGTGCAGCAGTGCCTGGCATCAGGCAGATGGTCAATACGTATTTTTACGCAAATAATGTGCGTTATACCTTTTTTGTTTTTACAACCGTGCCCCTCCCCCACCACAGGTATTTTTGTAAGCACCCTATGATAATTTTTTTACTTGTTGCTTAGGAAAATACCTTAAGGGGGAGTGCAAGGTTGGCAAAAAAAAGTATAACATGCCATTATTTGCATAAAATATGGTAAATGTCTTCCAAGTAATGGAGGAATTACTGCTTCACCCGGATGAATAAAACCTTTGCCTATTGATCAGAGGAGCCTTGGTGGCGCAGTGGTTAAGAGCTATGGCTGCTAACCAAAAGGTTGGCAGTTCAAATCCACCAACCGCTCCTTGGAAACCCTATGGGGCAGCTCTGCTCTGTCCTATAGGGTTGCTATGAGTTGGAATCGACTTGATGGCAACCAGTTTATTGATTGAGGTCAGTCACTCTTCTGACCTTCCTGGGCTTTTCCAAAATAAGCCTTTTTCCCTCAATCCTAAAAATAATAATTGTTATAGAAGCTAATTTTATTTTATTTTATTTTTTTGTTATTACCATTTATTTTTTTCAGTCATACACATATTGTTTTATGACATTGGTTAACAGCGCCACAACATGTCAACCCTCTTAACTTCTCAACCTTTTTTTTTTTGGTGAAAATACACATAGCCAAAGATACACCACTTCAAAAATTTCTACATGCACAGTTCAGTGACATTGACTACGCTCTTCCAATTGTGTATAGCAGCTAATTTTAATTGAGCCCTTACTATGTGCCAGTTACTAAGTAAAGCCTTAACATGGATATCATTAGTACTAGATAGAGCCAGATTTAAGCCCAGAGCCCATATAGGGCATCATTAAGCGAGGCTGCTAGCAACAAATCAACATCATGAGGCTCCTGATTACTAATCTCCCCTGAGAAGCACTTCCACCTCCAGGCAGTGGCTGAAAGGAGCTCGAGCCCTTCCTATTTAGGAAGGAGCATGGCAGCCCCTCGATGTTGTAACCTGCCACTCAAAATTTCCATGACAACGTGCTTTGAGGCTGTCTTGGTGGACCCCGACATGGTGATAAGGGCAAGCGTCTTTATTCCTTATGGGTCCTGCAAAATCTGGCCTTCAGTAGAAATGCCTGTTAATAACTGGCTTCCTGGGCTGAATCTCGAAGAGCTGGCTCCACACAAGTCTTGAAGATACAGCTTGTAATGTATTTAGGAGGATAAGTTGTGGGCTAAGCCTAATTCTAACATCTCTTCCTCAATGAAGCCTTTTCTGGTACCGCTCAACTACAAGTTATTTTTTTCCACCTCCCAATTCCTTGTTCTTCTGTCACTTTTTAACAATTCTTTATTTCCCACTCTGGGTTTAAGAGGAAATTTCACATGTGGCAAGCATTCAATAAAAAAATTATAAGTAGCGGCATCAGAAAGCCAATTAGTGTAACTTTTAGATCAGATGAGAAAAAGCCCATTTTTCTGGAAAAGACCATTGATCTTTGAGAGTTAAGAATCAACATAAACCAGAGACTCCATCAGCCTGAGACCAGAAGAACTAGATGGTGCCAGGCTACCACCAATGACCGCCCTGACAGGGAACACAACAGAGAGTCCCTGAGGGAGCAGGAGAAAGGTGGGGTGCGGAACTCAAATTCTAGTAAGAAGACCAGACTTAATGGTCTGACTGAGACTGGAGGGACCCTCGAAGCCATGGCCCCTGGACGCGATGTTAACCCAGAACTAAAACCATTCCTAAAGATTAGACTGGACTATAAAACATAATATAAAACTCGTGAAGAGTGTGCTTCTTAACTCAAGTAGATACACGAGACCAAATGGGCAGCTCCTGTCCAGAGGCGAGATGAGAAGGCAGAGAGAATCAGGAGCTGATTGAATGGACACAGGATACCCGGGGTGGAAAGGGGGAGTGTGCTGTCATGTAGGGATTGCAACTAGTGTCCCATGACAATATGTGTATAAAATTTTGTATGAGAGATTAACTTGAGTTGTAAGCTTTCACCTAAAGCACAATTAAAAAATAAATTAATAAAATTAAAAAAAGAATCAGCTGGCCCCCAATTTCTTTTCTCCCTGGTCCAGGGTGTCGCAGCTCCTCACACGGGGCACCATCTGTCACAGAGAAGTGGGGACAGGAGGGTCACTCTGAGGAGTCGAACCCCGGCTTCAGTCCCAGGAGTTTATTTTATAGTCAATACAGCAAGCAGTGAAGCAAATAACAGAACAATGGGCTTTGGGTGAATAGCAATAAGTTTCGGGCAATGGAGGAGGAATTCAGGTAAACAAGCCAATCAGTAACGGGTTTGGAAGAACAAGTCGTGACAAGTCTCAACATGTTGGGGACAAGTCTCAACATGCCGTGCAGCATAGAGGCCTTTATACATCCATATTTTAATGGCACATATCCCCACACCGGGGGACAAGAATGGCTTTGAAAACCTACTGGAAGGAGTGTGTGTGAGCTCAGCTCCTGGTTTTTCCAGCTCTCAGTTGCTGAAGGTGTAAGTAGCAGCTCTCCTTCAAACAGGCGGTGGACATTACCCATGGGCACCTGTGCCTCTGCATGCATTTCATTCACAGACAGACCTTGTTTTATCTCCCCCTTAACAGTGCATTCTACTGTATTGGAAAAGATGAGAAAATAGGCTGTGAGTCTCGTGAATGCTTGGGGATAGGATCAGAAAGATTTCCAGGGCCTTTGTTGAGTGCCAGCAACGTTTATTAAGTCCTGACCATAGGTATTGCCTGCTTCAGTGAGCAGCCAAAGCTATCTGTGAAGCCCCAGAGGACCCGCAGTCTCCTCTGGGGAGAGTAGGCGACTGGGCAGTGATTAAAGTGGCCAGCAGGGGGCTGGCATTCTCTGTCTATAAGTGGCCTTGCTCCTCAACAGTGCCTCAGCTCAGCAGAGCTGCCGTTTGCTGGTGAAGCCCGTGACGTGCAAAGCATCCTGCCTATAGGATTGGAGGCTTTCTCGGTGCAGTTTTTTCTACCCACTTTAAACCTCAGGTTCTAAATATCAGGAAAGCCAGGAAATGCTGTGTGTAACAGCAGACCAAAAGTTCTTAGTGAACTGCTGCCAGAGATTCGGACTAGGATGGAGGTGGAAAGAGCTGATAGAGAGTGGGTTTAATTCTCAGCCCTATTTCTGGTGGTAGTTTTTTGTTGTTGTTATGTTGCTAACTTATTGAATTGAGAGATGCATGGCATTGGTCATGTGAAGGCCACAGCAGCTCTAGCCTCAAAATAGTGACAGACAGCTTTGAGGACCATAGTATGTACGTCTTGGGGGCATTTTTATTACAGAAGAGAAGAGCCCAGCATAGATCTTATCCTCATCTGCACCCAGCTGCGAAATCAAAACGTTAAGAAGAGCAGTGAAGAGCAATTGTAGGTGGGAAAAAAATCTAGAGGATGGCTCTGAATGACTGCTTCCATCTGAATTTGGAAGTGGACCGTCTGGTGCACTGCAACGTCTCCAATCACAGTGTGGACCTCTCCGCGACTGATGACTGGTTCCACCCGGGCATCCTCTATGTCATCCCTGTGGTTTATGGGGTGATCATCCTGATTGGCCTCATTGGCAACATCACCCTGATCAAGATCTTCTGTACGGTCAAGTCCATGCGCAACGTGCCCAACCTGTTCATCTCCAGCCTGGCCTTGGGAGACCTGCTCCTCCTGGTAACGTGCGCACCCGTGGATGCCAGCAGGTACCTGGCCGACAGATGGCTATTTGGCAGGGTTGGCTGCAAACTAATTCCCTTCATACAGCTCACCTCGGTGGGGGTGTCTGTTTTCACGCTCACAGCTCTCTCGGCAGACAGGTAAGTCCTGACTGAAAGTTACCTTCTCTCTGAGGGTGGGAGATGCTCCAGTAAATGAGCTCCCACCTTGTGACAGACGGAACTGTCGGCACAAAGGGAAGTTTTACTCAGAATCTGAGTCCCTTCCCAGGCAGGTTTTTTCCAGGGATTACTTCTCAAGTTTGGCATATTGGTTTAAGAAGGAAAGAAAAGTGAGTGAATGGCAGGGGTGGAAGGAGACAAATTAGCAAAAAACTGTAAGAGTGAGATGCATTTTCCGGAGCCAAACCAATTTAGCATCATCCTTTCCTTCTAACTGCTTCCTCCCGACAAAATTCATTGACTGGTGAGAAAAGTCACAGCCAAGAGAGTTTAAACCTCAGGCAAATATTTCTTGGAAACAATTCAGAACCTTCAGAGAACAACAAAGTCCCGTTACATTTCTTCTTCCAAATAATATCTGAGCAATGACCAAGAGCAGAACATAAGCCACATTTCTTTGAAATTCAGTTGCCTCTAATGGTTTAACTTCTCTCCCAGCTGATTTTGTGTTTGGCTGGCTGTGACTGAAAAATTTGTGTGCTGACTTTTCTAAGTATCTCTGAAATGAAATCAAACATTGTTCGGGTATTTTGTTGTTGTTGTTTTGTCTGGAGAAAGTTCCATCCAAGGTTGAGTTCTAATTGTATTATCTTCATTGACATACTTCCATATAGAGCACTTCAGATTGATTTTGGGGGAGGCAGGGTCCGGTACAGTGTTTTATTCTGCTAAATATACATATTTGTGACTGACAGCTTCATTGCTTATGTGAACACATTGCTTAAATATTCAGACTTATTCACTCTTAAGAATTCATATTCATTCTTTCCACATCTATCAAGTGTCCGTCACGTAGAAAACCCTGGCTTGAATTCACCAGTGAGGAAATCTTTGCAGGTTATTCACACAAATTACTGAATGTATCTTCTGTAGTTTTGGGCTCTAGAAATCAGAAACCATAATGAATAGATAGACTCTCAAAAACAGCATAGACAATATGGTCAAATTAAGAAAAATTGGTCCAATGAACCAGAGGCTAGCAGTTTTTATCTTGAAATCAACTGTAGGTTACGCTGCTAAAGATATAGAAGGATTCGAGAGTGTGCCGGGAAAGGCAGAGAAGCAGCTCTTGCAAGTTTACGTTCGGAAGAAATATCCCATGTTTTAATACATATGGTGCTGGGTTCTCATTTTGGAGAGGACCGAGCAGTCCCCAGGTGATCTGCCTATGGCCCGTAATGGACAAATAAAGATAGAGTTATCAGAGTTTGGAGGCATGTGTTTCTGCTAAGCTGCCTGAAGTACGCAGGGCGTTTTCAAAGACGGAAGAGTAGTAGCAGAGAAATGAGGTTTGCACACACACATACACACACACACCCCGCCCCTGCTGGACAGAGTTTCTTCACTCTCTCCACCTGCCGTCAGCTCGCTGGCACCCCAGGTACTGAGGACCACAAGCAGTTTGGAGTGTTGAGCTGAGGTTGACAGAAAGGCTGTGGCTTGACAGCAGTGGCCTAGGGTGCTTCAGGATGAGGGGGACGTTCTGAGTGAGCAGACGAGATGGCAGTTCTGGGCTGGTGTGTGTAGTGGGGCAGGTGGTGTTTATCATCTTTTGGCGGGAAGACAGGGAGGGAGGGGACAGGGAAGATGCAGCTGTAGGGAGGGAACTCTGCTCCAGAGTTTCCAGGCCCTCTGACTTTGTCATCAGCAGAAAGCGGGGGCTCTCTCAAGGGTGGGGTGACACCCTTGGGCAGTACCAGTGTGTTCTCAGTGAGTTTACAGTTACGGCGTGTCCCTCCCACGTTCAGAAATTACTGTCAGATCCCATGTAATGAGTTATCTTTTGTTTTGCTAAGGCTGAAAAAAGCTGGAGCATCTGAATTACAGGTAGTGCATCTAACCAGTTGCAACAAGAAGACTAGGTATTGAGCTGCTTAAATAATAGAAGACTGTACTTTTCTATTTATCTCATTTTTAAGAGTGATTGGATTCTTATAATGACCTCATGAGGTTGGTAGGATATATACATGTACATATACGTGTACATGTACACGTAAATGTACACGTACATGTACATATACATACCTTTTGCTGTCGAGCTGATTCTCTTAGTGCCCCTATAGGATAGAGTAGAACTGCCCCACAGTGCTTCCAAGGCTGTAATCTTATCGGGAGCAGACTGCTACATCTTTCTCCCTCGGAGTGGCTGGTGAGTTTGAACTGCTGACCTTTCGGTTAGCAGTTGAGCGCTTAACCACTGCACCACTTGGGCTTCTTGTACACGTATACTTACATATACATAAGGAATCCTGATGGTGCAATAGTTACGCGCTCGGCTGCTAACCGAAAGATTAGCTGTTCAAACCACCCAGTGACTCCAAGGGAGAAAGACCTGGCAATCTGCTCCCCTAAAGATTATCAAAAACCTGTTGCCGTTGAGTCGATTCCAACTCATAGCGACCCTAGAGGACAGAGTAGAACTGCCCCATAGAGTTTCCAAGGAGCGCCTGGTGGATTCGAACTGCCAACCTTTTGGTTAGCAGCCGTAGCACTTAACCACTATGCCAGCAGTGTCTATCTATATTTTCTCTTTTAAACAAGATCTAATCTATACACAGTAAACTGAACAAGTGTACAGCTCCATACATTATACTATATGTGTATATAACAGGGGAACCACCACCTAGATGGACACACAGACCAGCTCCAGCACCCCAGGAGTTTCTCTTATGCCCCTTCCCAGTTAATACCCCCATCAAGAGACAATCGCTATTCTGAGTTCTGTCATCATAGATTATTTTTGCCAGGTCTTTAATCTCATGTAAATGGAATCATCTAATAAGTACCCCTTTGTGCCTGTCTTCTTGGGCTTATCCTTATGTCTATGCTATTCATCCTTATTGGTGCACATAGCAATAGTTTGTTCTTTTTGATTGTTGTGTAGTATTCCACTGTATGAGTATGCCTCAGTTTCTTTACTCACTCTAATACTGATAACATTTCCAGTTTAGGGTTGGTAATAACCTGTTCTGGACATTCTTGCTCATGCCTTTTTGGGGACGTAAACACTCATGCCTCTTGGGAATGGAATTCCTGGGTCATGTTGTTGTTGGGTGATGTTGAGTGAGTTTCGGCTTATAGGGACCCCATGCAACAATGGAGAACTGCCCTATAGGGTTTTTTTGGCTGTTCATCTACATGATCCCCACTTTACAGATAAGGATAATCTACAACCACTGTGGCACCGGGGCTCCTATATTTAGGAAAGAAGAAAGCATTCTGTTACTGATCTGCTCCAAGCTGATTGCCAGGTCTTTCTCCTGCAGAGTCACTGGGTGGGTTTCAACTGTCAACCTTTTGCTTAGCAGCCGAGCATTTAACTGTTGCACAACCAGGGATCCTTTGCTGGGTCATAGGAGGCATATAGTTAGTGAATATTGTCAAACAATGGTTTGAGTCCACCTAGAGGCACCTCGGAAGAAAGGCCTGGCAATCTAATTCTGAAAAATAAGCCACTGAAGACCCCATGGGACACAGTTCTACTCTGACACACACGGGGTCACCATGACTCAGAGTTGACTCCAGGGAAACTGGTACTAATGAGCATTCCAGTTTTCCCACATCTTTTCCAATACTTGATATTGCTATTTAAAAAATATTTTTTAACCATTTCAGTGAGTGTGTGTTGTTAAAATCTCTTTTTGTAAGTGAGGAAATTAAGCTCTGAGAGTTTAAACTACTCCCCTTAAGTCACATTGTTCATAAGTGATTGAGTCAAAATTAGGATCTAGGAAGGGGTCAAGCAAACTCTTTCCGTAATGTAAAGGGCTATATAGTAATTTTTTAGGCTTTGCAGGCCATACGATCTTTGCCACAACTTTTCAACTCTGCTGTTGTATCGTGGCAGCAACATAGACGGTATGTAAACGACTGTGTTTCCATAAAACTTCATTTACAAAAACAAACAGCTGGCCCGAGTTTGCTGACCCCTGACCCAAGGATCAGGGAACTTTGCCCTGAAAGAGTTACTGCATTCTCAAAAGTGCCTCACTTCCACCCACAACAGACACCATGAGGCACTGGGAGGACACAGTCCCTTTTCCTTGGAGGGTGGGGTAGAATCTTTATGATGGAGGTGGTAGCAGATGGGTTATTCAGAGGTAGGGTGGCCAATTTGTTCCGGTTTGCCTGGCACTTGCCCAGTTTTACCACTTAAAGTCTCTTGTCTTGGGAATCCCTTCAGTCTCAGGTAAACTGGGTTGATTGGTCACTCTAGTAGAAGACCACCAAACTGGCTCATCATCAGGCTCAATTGGGGTGGGGGGGGGTGCTTTTAAATAAACATTGTTTGGCAGATCCGATTAAGGTTCACCCAGATGTCTCATGTAAGCCTAAATTAGAGACATCCAACTAGGTGTCTTAAATGACACACTTTAGAGGGTAACACTTCCACTGCTATGCCTTTGGAATAATCTATTTGATAGTTTCTATTTCCCTGTCCTCTCACTGCATTGAATTGGAACCATTAATTACAGTTTTTTAGTCCGTATTGTGTTTATTTATTTATATTGTGCATTAGGTGAAAGTTTACAGAGCAAATTAGATTCCCATTTGATAGTTTGTACATAAAATGTTTCATGGCCTTGACTTCATTCCCCACACTGTGTCAGCACTCTCCCCATTTCCGCCCTGGGTTCCCTGTTCCCTTTCATCCTGATTTTCTACCCCTTCCTGCCTTCTCATCTTTGCTTTTGGGCAAATATTGCCCTACTGGTCTCCTATAATTGATTATTCTAAGGAACACATTCCTCTCAGGTGTTATTGTTTATTTTATGGGCCTGTCTACAGTTTTGCTGAAAGGTGGTCTCCAGGAATGGCTTCAGTTGCAGGTCAGAAGGGTGTCTTAGGGCCACACTCATGGGGATTCCTCCAGTCTCTGTGAGACCAGTAAGTCTGGCCTTTTTTGTGAATTTGATTTT